TCATATTGGTTGACACGTTATTGCTTATCAGCCTCCAATTTACGCAAAAACGAATAAAACTATTGGAACGCGAATAGGCGGCCAGGAAAAGGTAGTCTCTTAAGTAACTGCATTTTTTCCAGAACGGCACCCACCCTTTAGGCTCGAGTTCGTCGGTTACAAGCGGATCCAGTGGTTACAAAGTAAGTTTACATTGTTATAGCAAATCTACACTACAGTTAAATCCAATCTGCAGTCTGCAATATTTTATGTAGACGGATTAAAATGACAGTTCATTGCGTAAAAGTGTTGCCCGCTTGAAAGCGGCTAGTGATTGCAGTCGATAAATATTCTATCGATTATCGACTGAACACACTTATGCAATAAATAACCGAACATATTTCATTTGAATCATCGATATTCGAATCGTCAATTTTTGTAAGTCCATACATACATACATTGCACTTAGAACAATGTCTAGTAAATATACAAAGATGAGACATATTTAAAAGATTTTCACTTTAATTCAATATAGATAAACAAATCGGCCTGTTCTTGTCAAAATGTATATGAATTTTTCACAGAAGCACTGGCGGCGAATAAAACAATTAATTAATACAGTAATCTTAATAACAATTAATTGAATAATCATAATATTAAGCTACGTAAAAACAAGCAAATAGAATATACAAGTGTCAATCAGTCAATTACAAACAATAAATTAGTCAATTATTAATACAATTTCTTAGTCAATTACAAATAACAAATTAGTCAATTACTAATGCGATTTCAAATATTTGTTCTTCTCCGAGTACAAAGTTATCGATTTTCGGTGTAATGATAATCAGTCTTGCGATTGCAGCAGAGCGTCAGGCGGCGCGCCGCAGAGCCAGCCTCCGCGTCACTCGACCACGAGATCATGAGCTGCTCCAGGGACCTGCCAGGTACGGTTGGCCACAGCCACAGTTCTACAAGCTATCAAAACAGTTCCTTTTTAGTAGCAGTAGAGCTCCTTGTGAAAGAGCACGTCCAAGGAAGTACTGCCACCTTTACCTATTTCTGCTGCCAAGCGGTGAGCATTACTGCGTTTCGGTTTTCAAGGGTAAAGGTGCTGGTAAAATTACAGGCACATATGTTTTTCAACTTATCTCTCCGGATGACGGGTGCAGTGGCAGTGTCCTTCAGATTTTTGCGAATTAAAGCTCTGAGCGGCACTGCGGCTGTTATGGACAGGCGTGTCGCTTACCACCAGGCGCACGTCCTGTTTGTCCCTTCAATTGATATCATAAAAAATACATACTATTTAAGTATGCTTAAAATTAATCTTAGTTTAATTATAATAAAACGTTAGGTCTTGTGGCTGATATTTAGGTAAAATTTATGTAGACACGGCAGCTCATCAAACTACATACACATTGACGGTTTTTGTTCCGACGCACTGGTTGACCAAAAGTGGATAGCTTGATGTGCTGTTGACGGTACCACACTATTACTTACTTTAGGCCGTTCTAAAAGTAAGTTATAAATAAATTGTACCCTCTTCAGGTACTCACACAAAGCGGTCATCCTCCGAATGCCGGGACCCCAATTCGTCGCCTCGTCGCGGCCTCGACTCCCGAGAAGCGTCCCTCAAGGACGAGTTGCGTCGCAACAACAGCCTGCGCGACAATCGCCGCGACTTATTAGTCGCAAGAGGTGACATCGCGCCGCCGACGACGACTATAGCGTGAGGAACACTCCCTATAGACCATTCCTGTATTTACTGCGATTTCTGCTTATATTGTTTGCCGAGGTGCGCTGTGATCTTACAGAGGTGGATTGTCAGATTGGTTACATGAAACTTTATAATATAAAAAATGGTGTTACAATCTACAAAAAAACGTAATATAAATATGTAAGTGCGTTGTCACACATGGTGCCGTGGGTTATATGTATAATTGCAACTGCAAAATAGCGACTGAATTGTGTGCAATCGGTACCAGACATTAATGCTAAGTACAGCTGGCGTACCGACTGCATTTCGATTGTAATTTTGCAATTGCAATACAATAATGTGACTACACCGTAAAATGTGACAAAAATTTGAATTATGTAGTTGCAATAAAATGTGCTAATAGAAAGGTGATTTGTCACGTTGGTTACGTAAACGCTAATAAAGTATATAAAAATAGTGTTTACAATTTTAATGTTACATGTCACAAAAATTAATTTGAATGTGACTTTTTTTAATGTTACATGTCACATATTATAGAGCCGCGTATTTTGTATTAATATACTGCGTTATATTAACACGTATACGTCCTTCTGCTGATCACGGCTTTTTTACTAGTGCAAAAATGGAGTGGAAGTTTATTATATGCGCTGTAACATGGAAGTTTTGAAATATGATTTTTTTTATTTGTAAGCTTAATTTGTCCAGTATCATGGAAGCCTCCATGACTTTTTGTTACAACCTGTATAAAAATAGTATATATTTTTTATTCTATAAACATTACTAATGTACCATAACAAATATTTTTTGTAACAAATATTTCTTGTGACATTACACATTAAAAATAAAATCTTGAAAGAAGCCAGAATCTTTAGCTGAAAATTAAGGAGTGTTTTAAAGCTTGAAATTGTGTAGGAAAACAATTTAGAGTTGCTTGAAGCGTACGCGCACAGAGGATATTCGAAAAGGCTAAACGGGAAATTATGCCTGAAAAATAAACTAGACAACAATATATATTATAGTGTAACTACTTCTTCGTCAAATGTAAAACAAATCTGCCCAAAGATTTCACAAGTGCAGTAAATAATAAAAAACCTACCACAAAAGTCATTCATCCCCTAGTTTGCCACCCTTAGAGGTGGAATATTTTCCTCAAATTTAAATGGGACCACTACTGAGGTACCCTCTTTCCAATAAAAAAGAATCATCAAAATCGGTTTACAAATGGTCGGAGTTATCGTGTAACATATATACAATCAAAAAAACGTCGAATTGAGAACCTCCTCATGCAAAAATTTTTGAAAATTTGCGTTTAAAAGTCAAAATAGAGCTGAAATTCGTTGAAAACTGGATTTTTTTTAATAAATCTATTCTGACTCGCTGCTGGACATAGGCCAACCTCCTCTTTTTCCATTGTTCACGGTTTTTTTCAGCATCTGGCCAGTCCTTTAAAAAAGGAGTCTTAAGTCATCCCGCCTCCTTTTTGAATTGTGGGGCTTTAATTCCGTGGTTCGTGGTTGGCCCGCAACTCTCATAAAATGATTGCATAAAAAGTACAGTCTAGTATGTTTGTCTGGCACTTTATTACTATTATTATTCAGTTAAATAGGTCTTCCGAAGTTTGTCCCGTCCACCGTTGAATCGTTTTATTTCTTTGACAATTTATTATATTGACCCTGGAAAGGTAAATACGTCTAACGTGCCTTTGAAAAATATTACCGTACTTTAAGTAATTTTTATAAGAAATCAAATTAGAGGTTATGTTTTTTTTTTAATTATCGTCTTTCTTGAAGACGGAGTAAAATGACATTTGTAGAGTTGCCAGTTTTCATAAAATTTTAAATGGTCATGTAGCTGTTATCGTCAGTTTTATCGATAGAATGTGAAAGAATGCCAAAAATGTTTGAATTGTGGATGTTACGACGTTCCAATTATTACTAAATGCGTTATTGCCTTCTTCATTCTTATTTTGACAGCTGTCCTACTAGTACCAAAAAGAAACTTTTATTCATACACATTTGAACATGCTGATTTGATTATCTGTATTTAATTAAAATGACAAATTTGAAAATATCTCTCTTCTTTGTATTTTTAATATATATAGTTCAATGTATGTATATATGTATGAACTTACAAAAAATGACAATTCAAATGAAACAAATTGGATTATTTATTGCTTGCGTACCCAACACTCAGTCGATAGTCGATAGAAAATTTGTAGACTGCAATCACTAGCTGTTTGTAATCGGGCAATACTTTTGCGCAATGAACTGTCATAATGACAGACCATACTTTAAATCGTTTTCTTGTAATATTTTCCAAAAGCACGTTACAAGTTTTACTTTTCCAGCGTCCATATACTTATAGAATATAATACACATAGAGTACAGTCATCTGGTATATAACCAGAAATAGAGACGAAATAAGGGTCATACATTAGTGGTAACTCATCAGAGATACATCACTTATAAATATCAACTCTCGTTTGCACTGAAGTATAGGCAGCGCCAACAACTGACCTGTGTGCACGCCTTCGTATATTCCAAAAAATATTCTGTATTTATTGTAATAAAGATAATATCTCTAACAATGCCGTGCTGTTTCATTCGGTGGTGTGGGGAAAAACAGCTAAACACCTAATTATAAAACAAACGTAATAAAATTTCACGGGTAATTAAATATGTAATTTTTCAATTTTCCTCCATTATAGCAAAGTTCAAGTTAATCTGGTCGATTTGAAGTGAAACAATTGACGACACCCGTCAATTGTTTCGAACTCGGGCTAGCCAATCGGAGCGCAGTTGTCACAGTAATGATATGGCAGAATAGTTTTCAAACAAATTAAATGACATTTCGTCTCTATTTCTGGTTATATACTCGATGAGTACAGTTTAGTTCAAATGTAGTACCACTATAATGTATGATTTTATGAAGACTTTCTCATATCCAATGCGTACTGTCACGATTTTTAACTTGAAATACAAATGCTAAAAAAGCGCGATTCACACTATTCAAAGCTTTACCGGCTGGTGCCAAGAACCCCTTTACATTTCTCGTCTGATAAGGAAATCTGCATTTTGAAATTTGGACCTTAAAAGCGAAGTTTTAAGAGTCGATGCTACCTCAGCTCGAATTCTAATTTTTCCTGTAATAATACTGTTTATTTTGCTCGAATTCTAATTTTTCGTGTAATAATACTGTTTATTTTGCTCGAACCGAGCACCGTTGGAGCAGCAGGGACACTGCCTTTGTTTCAGAATTAAGTTTTTCACAAACGAAATTACAGCCATTTGAAAAATGTGTGTCGTACTATACATGTTCTATTTAGTTCAGTTGATATAAAAAAATCATTGGTATATGAAGTACCTATTGAAAACCGCTGTTTTCTTGTAAAATTTCGAGGTAAGTTTGTGTTTTTTTTTCTATCGTGAAAATTTTTAGATATCCTTTTTTACAACGTATACTAATCAGTGTATGTCCTCAATTTCACTGTATATTTTTTTCCAAAGTGATTGGCTTAATACTTTCACTGTTCAATCAACCAAATCCAATTGAGATTGTATGGACTCTTAAAAATTCTTTAAAAACACCAATTACCACATAACGTTCACTTTAGCACCAATGGGCATAACTTTGACGAAACCAAGTTATTTACGTAAGTTATTGGATTTAGAAGATCACGTTCCTCCAAGCAGCAAATTTAGCATTACTGCATAACTACGGGCACATGGGAATGGTCAACTTTTTATCTCATGGTAACGGGCGAAGTTGTTGTGCCCCTCAGATATTTCGATTTAAACCGAAGCCCTGCAACTGTTATGGATGGATGGATGGATGGATAGATATTAAAAGTTTGTTGCTATATATAGTCTTTTTTGAAGACAGAGTAAAAAAACATTTGCAGTGTTGCCAGTTTTCATAAAACTTTAAACAGTCATATAGTTGTTGTCGACAATTTTATCGATGGATAATGTCTCTTCTGTGTATTTTTAATATACATAGTTCTAAATTTTAGTGTATGTATGAACTTACAAAAATTGACAATTGTACTGTACCTGAATGAACCTGCAGTTGGACAAATTATGAGCCTATTTATTGCATAAGCGTAACCCACATTCAGTCATAGAATATGTATAGACTGCAATCACTAGCTGCTTCCTAGCATCCAACACTTTTGCGCAATAAACTGTCATTTTACTCTATCTTCAAAAAATACAAATTATAAATAATTAATTTTCGTCAAAATCTGAACTTATGTCCGTTGGTGTGGTCTCGTTATGGGTTATTTCTTAATCAGGGCCCTGTCGAGTGTTCCGTCAGGGTGTCAAAAATTGGTCTCTTGAAATGAGCCTAAATCGCGTATAAATAAAATTAAAAAACTTCCAATTTCCGCGTAAGCCAAAAAAAAATGTTGCGTACAATAAAATATAACGCCCAGTAAACTGTAGAATCCGATTTTTATAATATACATATGTATTAAATGTAGCTCTATTTATTAGCTTGTATTTATGTGTTGTAATTGTGTATGGGGAAAAGACTTATGTACACAAATACAAAAACTATTTTTATGGTATATAGAAGTAGCAGACAATCTACTTATTGGTAATTAAAACCAATGCTTTCACACGTTTGAGATAGGTACTAAATACTATCCTTAAGATCTAAAATGCGTTGTCAGCCAATGGACATAAGACCTAAATTCGCCTGAACCTGTGATTGTACTGGTTATCTCTAGGCTTAAGTCTAAAACGCACTACAGGCACTGTTTTAGCGTTCCATTAAAAATTATAAGTTTTTTGTAAATTATAGGCTTTTTGTAACATAATTAAATTATAGGTTTTTTGTAACATATTAAATTATAAGTTTCTTTGTAACATAATTAGCGTCATTGATCTTTCTCCCATACACTAAATTGTATTTAAAAAGTATATAAAATAATGAAACCGGCCATATAAGTATTTAAAGAAAAAAATTGTTTAAAAAATAATGCTACCCGTGTACTGAGAAATGCTTAGTTAAGGCCTGGAGTATGCTGTATTTTTGCAAAATAATAATAATTTTAATAAACAATAATAATTATGGATGATTGTATTAAAAAAAAATCCTTTCTTACTACCGTAATATAGAGCGCTTAGAAAAATTAGCCTTTCCATAGCGCGTGGTACACTTGACTTAATGTTACGCTAGATTTTTCAGTTTTGATTTTTTTCATTTTTAACATTACAATTATGTTATACTTGTAAGCACTTGCTTACACGTCCATGTATATTTTATATTTTTTCTCAGACTGGCAGTTGGCCATTTTTCGTGACCTTTTTTAATTTGACCAAAATACGCTTTCGGTTTCACGAATTAAGGTACTTCATTTTTACCAAATCCTAACTGCAAATGGTAT